TTAAATAGGATATGTGCTGACCCACATCGACAATTATGCCTGGCTTATATGTAGCGCTCTCTTTATGCACAATCAACAGATCTCGTTCACGACGTCCCACAAAATACTCCGTGCCGTTGTGCTGTATATGCGCCCATTGTTGCACGTCATCGCCCAGATTGAAGGTGAAATCCTCCTCGACGGATTTGAGTATCAAAGCTTCACGGTTGCGACGTTTGGAGAACTCCAGCCGACGCAGTTTACGCATATCGAATTCGTGAACAACCTGCGAGTTGGCTTCCACCAATTGGGCATCTCATTTGGCAAAGTTTTCTCGCCGGCGCCGACCAGATCATCGTCGCTGCTATCATGTGCTGAACCAACCACTTTTCCGAGCGCTTCGCGACCAGCCTGTTGTGCATTGAGCTCTTTTGTGAGTTGCTGCACCGGCGTTCGTTTTCCGTTTCCTGAGCGCTGCCTTTGCTGATTTCCTCACGAAGCGCCTTCACCTCGTCGATACGCTGCTGGGTTACTTCGACTTTGGCTTTAATTTTGGGATCTGGCTTCTGCCCTTGCTCCGACGTCCAGGAGGGTTGGACTATGACGCCCTGGAAAATGAGAAAGGCGAAAGTTTCTTGAGAATAAAAAAAAAGCAGTAAAGAAAGATAAGCTTAAACTTAAGGAAAAAAGTAAATGGGCTGAATGAAACATAAATAATGGAAAGGAGAGGAAAGATATAAGAAAAGGGGAGCAGAGGACAGAAAAGAGGGGATAGGACAAAATAGGATACGTAAGGAAAGGAAAAAAAATTAAAGAAATAATAATGAAGTAAAGTAATGGAAATAAAAGAAAAGAAATGCCACGTACTCCTTCTGGAATGACGCGCAATCACAAACGGAAGGTGTTATTTTAGTTTCTGAGCAGGATCGTGTGCTATGGTATCGGGTTAATAATGTGACGCGCAGAGTGGAATTGTACTGGCAATGGGTTGTGGGTAACACCATCACTGGACTCACTTACTTCACAGTAGAGAGCAAAGACTATGTGGTTGTGTCTACAAATCAATCCTCACATACCGGCTTTTACACGCTGAATATTTATCAATTCGACCTAGGCTCACGCGAATTTTGGATTGCACAGCGCATGCAATTAGAGTTTCCTTGCCCCGAGACCACCTTACTCGATACGGGTCGTGATCTGATACTCGCCGTGCCACAGAACCAAACAGCTGCCATCTATACATTCAATCCGCGCGCCGACACCACAGACTACTTGCGTTTCAAACTCAAGCAGCAAATCGCATCCGAAGATATTGAGTCTATCGCCGGCTTCAAAATGGGTGGACGTAGCTATATCGCAATTGGCGGTCAGCAGCCACAAGTCTTACTCTATCAGCAGGGTGAGCTTGTGCCCAAAACAATATTGGCGCATAATTTTGGCGTTGTGCAGCTCTTCTTTCCAGTGCCGGTGCGAACCTACCGTGACGATCTGATACTGCTCGTACAACATCGTGTCGACTTCAGCACGCACAGCCTCACGGTGCTCGAGACCTTGATATGGGATGGCGAGGCGTTTGAGGCCAGCATACCAGTACCATGCAAGCTTGGGCAGCACACAGTCTTTGGCGTGAGCTGTGTGTTGGATATAGAACGCGATGCCGGTCTAAAAGGCGCAACCTACTTTCGACGCGGCGATGAAGTGTCGTTAATTGTGCCGCGCCACAATGCTGAGTCTGGGCTATTTAAGCTGCACACTGAACTNTTGATGGTGAGGTGGGTGAAATCTATGTTAACGACTACCGCTGGACGGATGAAGATACTCTACTTGATCTGGATCAAGTAATAACAGCCATTGAACAGCTGGCGTCGGACTTAAACATTGCCAGGCATAGACGCGACACTGCTTTTGATGAGTTCAATTTCGAACACTTGGAATTTGATAGTCTGGAAGTGGATGAAATGATTGTGCAGCAAGTCAACAGTGAAGATTTTTATGTGAAGGATGGCATGCTAGAGTTCAATGGGCTTTTGAATGTACAAGACATGCAAGTTTTGGAGCGTTTAGGTGCAGTCGAGGAGCGGGAAGCAGATGACGAGAACGAAGATGAGAGCAGCGAAGAGGAAAGTGACACACTAGTGCTCGATGGCGACTTGGAATTTGAGTCCATTAATGGCATAAGCTGGCAGGAAATAAAGGAGAATATGGTGTCCACAGATGTGCCGTTGGACTTGACTCAGCTCGAAGTGGATGGGGTAAGTTTGAGACCAAAACTCGGATCTCTAACGAAATGTTCATTACTTTCAAAAGTATTTAGTAGAAGTTTTTCTAAATTTCCCAGAAATTGAGACACCTCCTCATATAACATCATAATTCGGTTCAATAGATCTGCCTATCTTTTTCGCAGTCTTTTTTAACCTCTTAAGATTCTTGCGGTATTTCTTAAGATTTTCGTGTCATCTATCTATATTTCTTTCTTCCCTATCTTCCGCTATTATACCGACAACTTTTATTTAGGTGCCAGTCAGAAAGACATAGCGACTATTCAATCGTTCACTTATCCTTTCTCTTATACCTTTAATCTTTAACTAGGTGTCTGTAGAATGTGAGTTGTTGTTATTCTAACAGCGCTGTTTCCTCGAACTGGCTGGGGCCAGTTTGTGCAGGTCGATCCAGTATCGGAGAAGCCAGTTCATTAAAATATGGCTTCTATTTGGGTAGATTACCCGATATTCCACGAACTTAAAATGTTCTACTCATATGTATATGTAGGCTTAGCCACCGGAACTAGTTTGTGATCACATTTTGTCCTCTTCAGCCCAGCCTTTGGGCCATTCATTAGTAGGAAGTTACTATTAAATAAAGCCGGTAGAGGGGAACTCATTGGTTACACTGGTCCTAATCGTCCGTCATCCCATTTATGTACAGCCAATTGGTCTGTGAACAGAAACAGAATGCTGCCTTTATTTTGAGGATACTGAAAGTCCTGTGGGACTGATCCGCCTTAACTAGACAAAGACTACAACACTTTAACACGTCAGCATTAAAATTATAAATTGGGCTATCACGATCCTTTTGGGGTTAGGACTCATTACGGGAATTCTTTAAGATTGCGATGTTCTTTGTTTTGCTTCACTAGAGATCTGTTGTCGTTTCTTAGTACTTTGTCAGACCTAACCAGCAAACAAATTTAAAATAAAAAAGTGGCTTATTGAAAATGTATGCAAGTGATTTGGCTCTGAGTTTGATGAACCGGGTTTTTCTCGCATTCTCTGGATAGAACACCGCTTTATTGAGGAGAATTGTAAGTTTTTTTTTTATCCAAAAACTTTTTCACCTGGCACCTTCCGCATGTCTAATTCCAATATTTCCACTTTTCACGCTTTTTTCTAATGTGTGGTCATACTTCAAAGATGATCCAGCGCTATCTGTACTTGGAGGCTGGAGACCCAGAGGAGATGGATAGGTTGTTTTATTTTAGCAAACGTATTCAGCTAATGAGAACTTTATTGCAATGAGAAATAAGGTCTTTGACCATCACTTAAGATGACGACTACATGGGTACAAAGATGCCAGCTCCAAGGTCTTTGCATGGATAGAGCCGTCTGCGCACCAAATTAAATGATCCATCGGGGTGTATTAACACAATTGAAGTCTCGCCTGCTTTCCTGACTCTATACCATTGGTGCCATTTTGTGATAATTGAGCTTTGATCGTTTCCAAGTACTGGGATTGTACTAATTTTCCGTTTGCAGAACTTGTTTGGATACAAGTTTTCCGTTTCTGTGAAGTAGTGTGAATTCAAGGACCTCTTCAACAGCTCTCAAGTTCCAGTTAGATGATGTAACTTAGTGCACCGTAATTTGATCTATGTAGCGTTTATAGCACTAAAGCTTTGGCTCCCTTGGCTACGGCTGGACCGACCTAGGTATTCTACATTTGGCAAAATGCGAACTTCAGTACCATCTACTATAACGGGGTTTATTCCCAATAGGGGTTTCTATTCGTGAACAGGTGTTTGGAAATTTTTTTTTTGGGTTTTCTTACGTCCAACATCAGCTTCTAAGGTTTTGCTATCATCGATGGTCGGGGAATAATGTACCGAGTGCCTTTCATTTCAGGGCATTCACTTTTCCTTTTCTAACTTATTCTGGGAAGTAGTTTTCGATATAAAGCCATTGCGTTTCCCCCTACCACCCTCAATAAGATATCACTTCATCGGGGTTCAACTGACCGCAGCACAAGTACAGATGCTTTTCCTATCTCATTTGCGATCCTATCTCTATCGTAACCTCGCATGAAGTCAGCTGTCAAAAAACTCTTCTTGTCCATCCTGGCCAATTTAGATATTTATTCCACAACTACCTAACTGGAAATAATTAGTTTCGCAAGTGAACTCAACAAAACTAGTCTTAGTCGCATATAAAAAAGAGGAGCTGGTTTTTCTGAATAGAAGGAGAGCAACTACTTTCCAAAATTGATTCCTTTAACCCACTTCCCTCTCTTAAGATTCACAACTTGGCTCCAACTATTAGCTCTGAAAGCGTAATGCGATCTGAGCAATATGGGCCGACCTTTCGAGAGAATGGCTTCGTTATATGACCAGCGAATTCTTATTTTAGTGACCAGAAGAAAAAATGTATTTTCGGAAATTCAATAAATCTCTACGTCGACTTTGAAATGAGATGGCCAGCCTTCATCGAAGAGTTTTCCCAAAAATGTGCGGGAAGTTTGTCAAAAGACAATGACTTCGCTTACGATATGTTGAACAGGCTGCGTCTCTGACTCGCCACCCCTTCTGCTGGTACAGAAATTGTGCTTTTAGCCGATTCTGGAGCCGGTTTGTCTCCAAACCAAATGTGACAAGGTCTGACTGAAACTCTTTTCAAAATATATCATCTTCTCCTACTTTAGAAGGAATCAAACTACTCCGAGAAATATAGTAAAATATTTAACTTCAATTTGGTACCGATAGCCCAAAACGATTTGAATGCTTCTACTCGCTTACAAAGTTTTTGTCTCAGACCTTTTCCTGGGGCACTTGTACTATTCCGGAACCTTCGACAATATATTTCCGACCTTCCAAAGTTCTACTCCAGCACTCGTTTTTGGGCTTTTAATATTTATTTCTAATGGAACCACATACATATGTACTTTCAGGAAGTTGTAATCGAGAACCAAATCTCGTTGAATGCATTGAACTCACTCGACTTTCCTGATGATTTCCTCTGGTCTGATGGTCCTACAGTTAGCGTTGTGCGCGGCGAAAAAACTTTCACCGACACGCTGAGTGTAAAGGCGCTCGACACTGAAGGTTTGCTGAACGCCGTGAACGCATCGGACGCCATTACGTTGAGCGGCGCACAAGAATGGCTTGGACAGCCAACTTTCGCCAACCTCAAAGTTACGGAGATCTTTCAGGTATGGTATCACTACCTCTTTTTATCAACTCACAGTTTTAATGTTAAATTTTCGCTTTCTTTAATAGCTCAATGGCACCACACGCGGACGTGACATCGGCAATCTACCAAACAACCCTACGTTGAAGGACTCAAATCAGATTGAGGCTATTTGCAACTTTAAGCAGCTGCAGGTGCATGGTCCCATACACATAAAGGGGCTGTATGACGGGCAACCGCTTGAACCTCTCTTGCGTGATATCGTGCAACGACCCGCACATCCTGAGGCCACTATCACCGTGCGTGCTAAAAAGCGCTTTAGCGACGTGCAAATGCCGTTGGACTTTCAAGTGTTGGATGGCAAGTTGAATAACATACCAGTGGAGAATTTCGTGCCGGCGCATACAAAGCAGACGTTGGATATGACCGCCTTGCAGGCGTATGTTTATTTTTCCAATCTCACGCTTAGTGGTCGCTACGATGGCGTGGATCTGGAGGAGCTTATGCAGAATGCGATCAGAATAGATCAGCCACAGGTAGCTTTGGACACACATCTAAGTTTCGCAAACGCTTTACAGAGCGACGAAGTGGATGTAACGACTAGTCTAAATGGCGCGCCTATAGCGGAGAACTATCAAACCATCGATGAGGATATGAATATACCCGTTGCGTATTTTGAGCTGCTACAAGCTAAGGAGGCTGATATACTGGGAAATATTGAAGGCGACAACGCGAAATGGAATATGCACTCGCAGGCGCAGTCTGATGAGGGTAGCGGAAACATGCCAACCGGCAACATTTACATAGAAGAGCTCAAGCTCGCTTACGGCCTAGACGTAGATGAAATTCATGGCATTAACGCTTCGCTGGTTTGGAGTTTTCTCGATGAGATCGATGACTTGCCCGAAATGGTTTTGGATGGTAAAATCGTAGTGGATCACGTCATAGTTACCGGCGATGTTCACGTACACAAGCTCAATCAGCAACGCTTCGATGAGGATTTGCAACTCACCATTGTGTGGTTGAATCGCCCCAATTACCTAAGCACACGCCTCACATTCAGCGATGCACTCATGGTACATGGAAAACTCCAAATAAACGGTGCATATAATGGCATGAACCTGCAAGCGATTCTTGATGATATGATTTTCCGCGAACCCACCAACGGCACAGTGCAAGTGTTTGCACCAAAGAGCTTCACGCAGCGTGTTCAAGTCGTGCGCGACACCCACTTGGAGGCACTCAACGGCATACCCTTCTCAGACATCGCCACCAAGAAAACCATTTCTAACTTCCGCGGCACTCTGCAGCTGCACGGCAATCTAATCGTAAATGAGCTTGAACTCGCTGGCGCGCTTAACGGACAACCAATGTCTGCATTTAGCAGAGCGATACGCTTTGATCATGACATGCGAAATTTCATAATGCAAGGCGTTGTGAACTTCAGCACGCAACAGTTACACTTGCAAGACCTAACTGTGCGCGGCCAACTTAATGAGATGCCGAATTTGGCACACTTCTTCGACGAACTGGTCTACAAGGATAAAGTTTGTATGCTGAAAGGTTCGAATACTTTCACTGGTCGCGTGAGTATAGAGAAAGGCGCCTATATACGCAACTTGAATGGCTATAACCTTTTGACGCTATTTGATAACATCGTCTATGTGAACGAACCGCGACCGGTGCTGATAAGGGCACCTCTGACATTCAAGGGTTCAGTGCGCGCGCAAAATTGGTTCGTACAGGATACACTTGAGGCAACTCATTTAAATGGGTTTGCATTGAAGGAGTGGTTCACGGACACTTTGCGGCTGGATAAACCGCAGGAAATAGAACGTGAGTAGGAAATGAGTATCATAAGATAGTAGACTTAAATGTTAAGGTCTCTTTTTCAACAAAGTATCTGATATTTTACCATCGCTTCAAGTATTGTTTTAAAATAAGCCAAAGATAAGAACTTGCTCGCTTAGTGAAGAATGCTAATTTGGGCAAAGCAAAAATAAAGAGGTATTTAAATAACCTTCTCATTTGTGCTCGTGGATACATTTTCGTGAGTTTGTTCCGTTTCGATCATAATATTTTACCGCACGGCTCCAGCAGCTGTGGAACTGTTTAACCAGAGTATCGCTTACTTATTTCAGGTAGAAAGATTTAATAGTTCTAGAGCAAAAACAAAGTAGCTCAATTTTAATCTCGCGACATTTGAGGAGAAAAGGCAAGAAGGCTCCATCAAGGAGTACTTGGAAGCCATATTTTAAAGCAATAGAAGAACTACAAGAAACTACGCGAGTATTTTGGTTAAAGTTTGATAGGATAGACACAGATTTCATCTTCCTCCCCGACCCTAACTACCTTCCACTAATTCGCCGAAATGGGGGAGTTCTGAGAATGAGCAAGAATGAAAAGTACTAGCTTTTTTCAAATCAGTATATCTCCCCGAGGTTAGAGAATGTCGGGCAATTGCTCATAAGGTGTAAGCAGTGGCTTCATTATTCAGACAAGAGGGAAAGACGCAGGCAACGGATAGAGAAAATCGGTTAAAATGCCAGTAAATAAATTACAGTCTCTCTGGTTTAGAGAGCAGATAATTGCTGTAGATTTCGTTAGAAGAAGATTAGATTAGAGGTTTCGCATCTGGGAGTGCCTTAGGACACAATACGAATGAAGTTGAAGGGAAACTTTAATGCAGCTTGGCCATCACTGCACTATCTCTCCTGACAAAGCCTCAAAGGGTGAAAATGTGCTTTTTTTCCTTACAAGGGTGTGGCGAACACAAAATTTTCTCACCGGATTGCCTTTATTTTAGAAACGAATACAAAAAGAAAAAGGGACAATCGAAAGGCGACATTTTTTTGTAGAAACGAAATCACCGTAAGAAATAATTACCTCACTTATCTACATACATACATAGCTCTTGAGTTTGGTTTAAAAACTTTCAAAAAAGGTTTTCAGTTTTTCTGCATATTGTGGCAAATTGTTTTTAGTTCTAAAAATACGTTAGCTAAGCTTTGAAAATAAAATAAAAAAAACCTTCTTTTCAAAAAAAATTAATTTTATTCCTAAACATTTGTGGCTCATTATTTATTTGAAGAGTCAGCACAACAGCTTTATCTTCGGTATTCATATTGCCTTCAGATGGGAGTAACTCAAAACACACGGTTCTCCAGGAAGCTTCACCTTCCTTAAACAATTTGTTCTACTTGCTGAAGAGTTAATGCGGACTATATTCTATATGTTGGACCGTTCGCTAACGTTTTCTGCCTATGTTACGAATCATTTTTTACTCTAAACAATCCGACCTGGGCTAAAATTTGAAAATGAAAGTACTTTTGTAGCGCATAATTTAATTGAAGAACCGGCACGACAGCTCTAGACTTCGGTATTCATATTGCGTTCAATTAAGAGTAATCCAAAAACTCTCTTCCCAAGAAGGTTTTTTTATTGTAGAAGTTAAAATACAGACCATATTCTATTTGTTGGACTGCTTTCGTGCCCCTATAATCTGCTTGAAGTCCACGGACTTCACAAAAAGTATTAAAGGGCTTCAGGGCTCTTAAACTCTCCAGGAACGAGAAATTCGCCCAGTCGTTAATATGGATTCTAGAGTAAGCAAGTGCGGCCAAAGTATTTGGCTAAGGCCAGCTCTCATCCTCTGGCAACTCGCATTTGCGGTACTTCTCCAACAAGAGGAGTTGCAGAAGAGTACTACGCTCATTTCAAACTCTAGCATACCGATGCTCAGCTAGTAAATATTTCTAGCCTTTAAATGGGCTTGAAGGCCTCTTCGCGAATAGCAGTATTTTTGGTTACAAACTGGATTAGGTCTTTTGCGATCCTCTGTTCATTTTTCGTGCTCGAGAATAATGTCAAAATGCCTTAAAGCACCGCAGGATAAATTTGACTAGAGCAGGCAGAGCTGGCTGGCTTAAATTAAACTCACTGAATGAAATGCAAACTTCTTTTTACGAAACCTAAACCAAGGCAAATTCATTCCCATCTATGGTAGATTTTTCCTATTCTTTTAGGAGTTCCAGCTGGGATCAGAAATTATTGTTAGAGTCTGAGCTTAAACTTGCGCTAAATTTTGCTGGGTAGAACTTTCAGCTAATTTTATTCTAGGAGTTCACAAATATTTATGCAGCACTTTGCCTTAAGATGACTATTTTTAGTCTGCAAAAAATTGCTTCAAGGTTATTCAAGTTCTAGATCCTTAGAATGAGTATGATTCTTCATAGACCCGTTTCCATTTATTATGAATCGTATTAGATGCAGCCATTCACAATTAGTTCTGAACTAGTAAGAGCTTATGCGACTCTACCAACTCTTTTCCTTTCTTTTCTCCCTTTGCAGAGTATCTCATATTTGCGCCATGCAGCTTAAATGGCAACAGTTTCTACGCAAGCTATTTGAATGACATTGATCTCTCGCAAGTCGTTACTTTGCATACGGCACAAAATCTCACCGGCAACATTACATTCTCCGAATTACATTTGGATGGGCAAATTCATGTGCAAGGTGCGGTGAATGGTGTCGATTTGGAAAAGGAGTATGCGAATACTTTAATGGTGAGTAAACTATAGAATATTGGTTTAAAACTTAAATTCAGATAAATAAGTGCAGTAAAATGCCGAGACACTAGTCTTGGGTTTTGTAGTAAACTCGGAAATTTATCTCGAGGTTTAAACTAGCACATATCTAAATTTCTGGTTTAAATTGCTAGACGCTAGTTGTATCCAAAGGCATCTTACGTAGGTAGAGTTACGCGTTTTCCTCTATGATAACAGAACATCGGTCTTTGTATCTTGAATCTTGGAAATCTAAAATAGCAAAGTCAGCGTTTATCTCGTCAGTTACTCAACGTGTCGACAAAGGTGGAGACGGGTTGTCTTCCTTGGGTGGTATATCTAATTTTATACCACAAGCACGCTCGTCCCAAAAGGATGGCCGCTATTATGATCGCCTATTTCGTTTCATCCTTTACACCCACATTGAAACGATAAAGTATTTTCACATATCCCCTACATACATTCCGGAGGGTTATGGTAAATCGACACATTGGAATTCATGCACAGAAAGAGAGCTTAAACTCAGACTCAATTTTTGCACTGATCATTTGGCCCTGTAACCGCCTAAGCGGTGTTGGCCGAGTTCAACAAAGCACGCCAGTCGTTTCTCTTCTGGGTCAACTGACGCCAATTGGAAATGCCAAGCGAATCCAAGTCCTTCTCCCCTTGGTCTTTCCAACGCAGTGGAGGCCTCCCTCTTCCCCTTCTACTACCAGCGGGTTCCGAGTTGAATACTTTCAGAGCTGGAGCGTCGGAGTCCATTCCAGCGGCATGGCCAAGCTAGCGGAGCCGCTGTATTTTAATTCGCTGCATTACGTTGCATCGTTTCATCGCCTACGGTACTCGCCATCGCCAACGCGTAAAGGTCCGTAAATCTTCCGCAAAATCTTTCTCTCGAATGCTGTCAATGTCAATGCTTCGGCAGCATATAGTGCCAACACGGGCATGATAAGTGACTTATAGAGTGTGGTTTTCGTATGTGTAGAGAGGACTTTACTTCTAAATTGACTACTCAGGCCAAAGTAGCAAGAGAGGTTCTGCGTTGGATTTCCATGCTGACATTATTACCGATGTCAATGCTGGTTCCCAAGTAAACGAAATTCTCTACTTTCTCGAAATTATAACTGTGAACAGTGACGTCGGTACTAAGACGCGAATGCGCTGACTGTTGGTTTGATAACAGGAGATACTTCGTCTTGTCCTCGTTGACCGCCAGACCCATTCGCTTTGGTTCCTTATCCAACGGGGATGCCAAAGCGGCGTATATGCAGCTCCCTCTAGTGCTATCCAAAGCGGCTTTGAAGTCGACAAATAGGTGGTGAGTTTCTATACTTTTCCCGCGTGTATTTTCCAAGATTTGGCGTATTTTGAATACCCGGCTCTTCCGGATTTTCCAGGTCTAAAGTCACGCTGATAAGGACCAATCAGTTCTTTGGCGGTGGGCTTCAGTCTGTCACACAATACGCTCGATAAGACCTTGAACCTATGCTTCGAAGGCTGCTCCCGCGGTAGTTGGCGCGAATGGCGGGGTCGCCTTTCATGTGGATTGGGCAGAACACACTTAAATTCCAGTCGCCGGGCATGCGTTCATCTGACCACATTTTGCATAAGAGTTGATGCATGCACCTTATCATCTCCTCGCCGCCGCACTTGAATAGCTCAGCTGGCAGACTGTCAGCTCCAGCAGCTTTGTTGTTTTTCAAGCGCGCTATAGCTATTTGATAGAGTGAGCTTAAGCCCAAGATATCGAGTCGGTGTTTAAACTTACTCACTCAAAAGTTCTTTTGATTTCCGTAAATTAATCTCGGACCCCTCAGGAGTACTGGAAATTCACTTTACGCCCGCCTATTCTTTGGAGAAAAAGTGTGATAGACAGCAGCAGTCGCCAAATCCGATTCAGAGAGCTAGAGACTTCGGACAGGTTCTGTGTCGTAAAGTTTTCCGCATGAGTGGTAGGTATTTGCGCATTTGGAACTAAAGCGATGGAGGGGGCTGTCAGGCCATTTTTATCGGGGCGACTTGATGAGCTAGAGCCCACCTTGTCTCTTGCAGTTTTATGGAGCGATAGTGGCAACCAAGCATGATTTTTTCGTGTGATTCAACACAGGCGATCTCCACAGCGCACTCTTTCACTGCCAATTTCTGCTTTATGTTGTACAGGCGCTGTCCCCAAGGCATAAGATAATAGCCACTACCGACAGGCCAATTGCCTTGTGAGTCGCTAATCAAGTTTCTTCGTTACATCCCAAGAACTGCGGGCTATTGCCTTAAGGCCATTGGTTATCGCACCAAGCGAAATTCGCAGAAAAGTTGTGTGTATAGTTTTATGGTGCTGAAAATTATACTTCTTGAGAGCTTTAGAAAGTCCTTAGACATTGTAGTGTTTATTGGAGCACTTCTGAGTTTTAAGTGGACACAATATCTTTCTGTGTTGATCGGACTGTCCTATCGGACTAACCACAGTTCCTGGAGTGGATTTTCCTAATCTGAATCCCAGGCTACTCAGATTGCCCTCTCGGTTTTTATTCTGTTTTCCAAGATTATTTTCTTAATTGATGTAGTATTCTATCCTAGTAGGACTCTTCTCCTTTTGCTGATCCTCTTGACAACGTTTAATTATTTCCGACTCGATTACCTTCGGCAGTTATTGAAGCCGCTTTGAGCCGGGAACTTCTATGCAACAAAATAGCAGAGCTATTTGCTAGGGATTCAAAGAAGATGAGTGGGTTTCAAATGAATACGATTGGATGAGTCTAAGCCGACGATACGATATTAGTGACCGATCTTCAGCCGGTAAAGGCAAGTCGATGCAGTTGGAAGGCTGTTCTCTACTGTCTGAGAATATCAAATAGCAATGTTAGCCATGAAACATTGCAGTATTTTTTACTTCTCCCCATTATCCTGTCGTTTACTCACCTCTTATTTTTCCATACTTACTTTCAGACTCATGGAAATCAACATGTCATTACTCCGCTAACACTGCATTCCGCATTGGTGCGTGGAAATCTAAGAACCAACGCCCCTGTAAACAATGATAAAGATTTGCGTGAAGTTGCAATGCTTAACGGCGACCAGCATTTTGAGTCGCCGCTCTATTTTGAGGATGTGAATGCAACGGAAGTAAAAACCAAATACCGCATGTCAGGCATAAACATGGACGAATGGTTCAGGACCGCGCTGCGCACGGCCGGCAAATCGCAGCAGTTCATTACCGGCAATTGGAGTGCGCGCACATTAAATGTCAACTCTGGGCCCACATTACCAAGCTACTTGGCCAGCGGGCGGCCGCGACCAATGCCCTTTGGTGCGCTGATACGTAGCGTGCGCGAAGGTAAGGAATACGAGGATTTGTGTGAGCAGTTGAGGAGGCTGGTGAAGAAGCAGCAGCGACGCGGTTACCAGTTGAAATACTTGGAGCGGGCCTTTGAGTTGGACTTGAAAAGGGAGGTTGAAGCAGATGCTGATCGCATTGAGAAAATACAGGCAGTATTCGCTATGGAAAACGAAGGTGTCAATTACCTCCTAATTAATATGGTTAATCAAGCACGTGTGTTAAAGTGGAACCCACTTAGTGGGATGTACGACGAGGTAGTCATCTTTCAGTCTGGCACCATCAATCAAGTAATCGCGATGGAAGCAGCGGGGATGTCAGTGTCAAACACTATACACTTTGTAACTAACAAGGCGGGCGTAGAAGGTTCACTTAAGTACTGGCGTCTGGAGCGCAATAACCTTACATTGCTGAAGTCATTTGAGAAACCGGCCACTGAGCTGATGTTATCGGCACACATGCCCGACAAATTATACGCTTTAAACACAGATACCGTCTACGGCTATGATTTGAGTAAACTCAGCCACACCAATACCTGGTTTCTGCCTGACTGGCTGGACAACACGAGCTATCGCTTTGTACCCCACCACTCGCAGGCGCTTATGGTTACCAACGGCGAGGTAATACTGCTCTTCAACGATGACGAGTTTAGCGCGCGTGACAAGCGGACCTCAGCGCCGAATTACAGTCTACCCCTTTCCTACCAACGTGTAATTCGCCCACAAGCTTACAACCTTACCGAAGTTGTGCTAAAGCCGAATGCTTCGCTAACGCATCAATTCCAACTCGCTGACTTCCGCGTTGTTATCGGACACATTCTTGACGACTTGAATTACCGCCTGCGACTTGAGGTGAATATTACACAACTCAGCATACCGGAGACGGATTTGCACGACGAGCACTTGATGCAGGACTTTATAGCAATAATGGAGGAGCTTAGGCGCCAAAAAATCTACCCAAACACGACCTTCGAAAGCATTGAATGGGACATGCTGCAGCTGCCCGAAAATCCGGCGCAGGTATTGGCAGCGCGCACTGTGCAGATCTTGTGGCCTAGCATTGTGGACATGGAGGAAATACAGGGTTACCTACAGGGTGCTGATGCAGCAGATGTGGCCAGCATTATGACCATCATGGATCATTTGGGCACAACAGTGCGTGATGTGCTCATACTGGCCAATAGCATAGAGGATGGCACACAGCTCTTTGAAGGCGACGATGCGGCTGCGCATGCGTGGGAGTTGAGCGCTGTCATTGAGTGCATACGCAGTTTGCAGCACTATCTGGAAAACACGGTGCGCGTGCTAAAGGCCGAAGCGCTCAAAGACAAGCAAGCGCCAACAACTCGTGAGGAGGACTTAGAAATGTCGGCAAGCGTGCTCGATGCGACAGATAAAGTACCAACCGTAGAAACACCCATTGAGTTCACACGCGAAAACAACACTTGGCTAAAGTTTGCCAACAGAAATTTACCTGCTCCTGGCGCCGGTGAAATTCTGCCCATCTTAGTGCGTGCGCATTCAAGCGAACCGCTTGAACTGCTGGCAGTCACCGTAGAGGTACCGCAATTGGTGGGCATGCAACAAGCTGAAGTCGTTTTGTATTTGGATGTCCTCTCCGGCACGCGCTTTCAAAGTATAAGCGCGCGTAAGCCGCATTCGTTAATCACCCTGCAAATAGCCACTGAAACGTTGCTTGCCTTTGTCGAGGATTGTTGCACCATACGCGTGTTTGTCTATCGCGGCGTGCAGGGCTTCGTGGAGTTTGTGAGCTTCAAGAGCGAAGCGGATGTTTTGAAAATATTCGCCGTTATGCTACACGACAGTGATGGTTTGGAGCAGCGGCCGCACTTGGGTGTCGCTCATGCTGTAGGTCTAGTCTTCTACCGCTTTGTTGGCGCGGGCTCAACGCTGCGCATGCCCGCAAACCTACTGTGCAATTAGGCCGAATTATTTAATAAATTAAATGCATGTAAAGATTCATAACAAAGCTAAGCTTGTAAATAAAAGTTGTATGATAAATTTATTTGTTAAAAGTCTGCTATTTTATTTACTTATCGTTCACTTAAATATTAAGACTCATAAAAATTTGACTCATCTTAAATGCTAATAACGCTTAAAACTTTTTCTTAGTAGTGTATGGTGTAAGTATTAAAGCTCGAAGCAATATTTCAATTGGTTGTCTTACGATAGCTGAAAAAATAAATAATGAAAGTGACCAAAATATCCAGTAGTCCCTTATTGATATAGCTAGCAGAGTTTGCGTATATTAAGTTTAGAGGTGAAATAAATAGAAGTAGAAAGAAGTTAAATTATATTAGAGTAATAAAACATACCGCCAGAGTTTTAAAATACCTCAAAAGAGCTCAATCATTGACTTATCGATCTGTCGATTAGCAGGCATGCTTTTATTTTTGAAAGCTTGAAGGTGAGAATATAACTTAGCACGCTTTATAAAACCTCAACTTGGCTTGAGATAATCCAGCCTCTCTTGGAACTCAGAAAAAGTTCCAATAGGTGGCAAACCGCTTGCTCCTAATGTTCCAACGAAGTAGACGAGATATTAATCAGACTAAAAAACTGGTCGTACATTATAAAGTTAGAGGATGGGATAAAGTGGCGAACTCCAAATCAAGTTCCATAGCAACAATTAGATTTCTCAAAAGAACTCAAAGCTAATCAGAAATCGTTATGAATGAGGAATAGATTGAGTTGAAGTGTGAGGAAGAGATGATCGGCACGACCTTAAAATCGTAGACTGCTGCGAGAGCTAAGTTTATCTTAAAGGCCTCAGAATAAAAAAAAAATAAATAAATAAACAAATAAATCATTTGATATAAAGTTTTGTTAAGTTGGTTGTTACAAGCGCGGCAAAATTTCGTTCGATCGTTCTATCCTCGATAGTTTATTAGAAAAAAATCATTCGTGCGTCCTTCATATGGGTCACTAAATGGTATTGAATATCCCAAAGCTAATCACAAATCGGTCAGGGCCAGCCAGTGTACGGTTTAGATAATCGCCCAAAGCGTGGAACCCGTTTCAATTTGTATTGAGCTCTAAGGTAATAAATGTAAAAGTATTCTCTGGTTGCCAAGAATGTGCCTTTCCAGGCAGTTTATGTCAGTTCCATAGAGATACACGAAGCCAATATGCTTAAACTTCAGACCTGCGGAGCGTTGGCAGCGAATGAAAAAGTGTTCAGATGATTCCAATGCATAATTCCCCAAATAGCTGCAAGTAAAGATCAGCTATGTAATTTAGTCTCTCGGCGTGCTTTCCAATCGAATACTTTACGAGCTGCCGAGAATTCCCCTCGATATTTCACATTCAGCGCAGTAGGAAAAGACTTTGGAACATTTTTCGGAATTTCGCTCAACTCTCGCCCAAACTGTACTTCAGTTAACCCACAATGGGTTTTAGACTGAAAACCATTTGATATGCCATTTAGTCTTAAGCAATTTCGAATGCAAGGTATTTTAGCACTTGACGAACTCCGAGCCTTTCAGAGAAGAATTTTAGAGGCAAAGTGGCATTGGAATAGTCACGACGTGCATTGGCTAACTAATTGGCGCCATGGATAACTGAGAGTAGGCTTTCGGCCGGTATTTTTTCCGCTCTATGCTCCAGATAGAAACGTTGACCCGATTAGTTTCATGCCTAACACACGTAGCTTTTCTCTAGCCAGTTCTGCTTCCTATAGACTACACAAAATATTAAGGGCTTGATTATAGTGGCCTAGAGCCAAGAAATTACTTTTCGTAGGAGGCATCATTCCATACACAAAACTTCCCCATAGAGGTATGAGAACTGAGATCCAATTATAACTTGGCTCACAAGAACAAATCCCTGAATCGAAGGGAAAATGGCATTGGGACCGCACATTTCCTAGAGAAATTAACAAGAATGTACGAAGAAACTAAGTTCTATGGGGCCATGGAATAATTCTGACCCAATTTGGATAGGAAGGCCTACTGGTGTTCACGTGAACGAGCTGGCTCACAAACTAAAAAACTATGGATCTGTGGATAATCTGGTGACGATGGTGCCCCGTTTGCTTACAGTAAGGAATAGAGCCGACATATTGCTACCGGAGACATCACCGGAAATTAAGAGTGAATTTTTTATTTTGTAGACTAAGCCTAGGAATATCGAAATATTCGTTTAGTGGCCTATATGTATTGGAACCGGCCAGTGACCATTTGGCCCACTTCAAGCTCTATAATTATCCTCGGCGAAAGTATAGGTTTGGTTAGCAACGATATACCTTAACGAAGTGATACAAACTCGGAGAGCTACCTTACGACCTCTCTGGTCTGGTCGATATGGTAAAGACGAATCAGATTGGGTTTAGGTTAGATGGCAGCCTGGAAAATGGCAAACTTAGATATTTTCTCCACTGAATTTTGCTAAGAGCAGAGTTACTAATCTGTCAGTCTAAGAGGCTCCCTCAAGCGGCGTCATTCCACCACCCCAACCAGACGGATCTTGTCACTTTGCAGTGCCGAAACTTTATCCCAGGGCACAGCAACCGGCAGGTCCTCCCTTATAAATTATACTCCTTGCAGAAAAAATTAATAAAGCAACAGCCACTCAAAAAAAAATATAATTTTCGGTCCCGTCCTTCAAGAGTCAGAAGCTTATCATCTATTGCACTCGACTCCGTCCAAATAGTAGATTTTTTTTTTTTTTTTTGTGAAATCTCTTACAAGCAAAACTAATTATAATAAATATTTACAAAAATAATCCAATCTGCATTTGCACTTACACGCTACAGCCCCTTTAACCCACTTTATGGTATTTTTACTGGTAAAAATAGTCGCGGATCGCCTATTTTCGGACTCAAGCGTACTATCACCTGGTCATCGCCATCACCCACTTCGAGGAAGGAATTCCAATCGGCTAAGAAGTAGAAACCATTCTTGCGTTTGGGTGGCTTCGGTTCTTCCTTATTCGTATCGACGCCACCAAAAGAGTCTTCCAGATCAGCCAGCGAGCCATTGCGCGGTTCTTCCGTAGTTGTCGTGCTGCTGCTGCTGCTCACTTCTGTCGCACTGTTGCTGTTCGTTGCAGCGCTTGCCGCAGCTTCCACGTCTACTGGTTCTAGAGCAAGATCAGAATCGCCGTCGGCCGCGCTCTTCTCTGTGCTGGTGTCTGTTGTTGCGCTTCCTGTTGTGCTCTCACCGGTGGCCGCACTCACTGCCATCACTATAAGCGGCGTAACACTTTGGCGCCGACTTTTACTAGTGTCATCTGCGGCTGTTTGCTGCTTCTTCAGCGTTTCCAAATACTTCGCATCCGCTTTACGCAGCAAATCTGAAGATACGCTGAGGTTCAAGCGTTGGAGCTCCTGCAGGTTGCCGATTAAGCGCTGCAGCTCATGCAAATCTTTTGTGATGTCAACGGGTGCATCCTTAACTGTTGGTAGCTGACTGGTATCTCTTTTCAAAGTAGTTACTGGCACATCGCTTTGTGGCGTGCCTGCCGGTAAATCTGGTGACGCTAGCTGATAGTTCATTTCGCTAAACTCGCCCATCAAATCGTCCTTGCTCCCAGGATCCATGTCGGCATACACATCCTTATCGCTACGCCTTTG